ACATGAGGGATTTCGTCTTTCAAAATGAAAGTAACGTCCTCATGGAATATGGGTACTGAGTTGGTCCATCCTTGTGGGAGTTTGACCAACCTCAGCGCACCGAACGGTGACTGGAATGTAGTCAAGTCGCGACTAGCTGGATCGATGTCACGCTGGTCGTAGCCTGAGTACAAATCTAGCGCAGCACCACAGGCGCGACCGGCGAAGTGGTTTGCTAACTCTTCTGTCGCGGGCGGCAATCCTGAATGTGCGATAGTGATTGCATTGAGTGGTTCTAGCGAGTGCACCAGTCTGATACTCTTCCCATCCTTCTTAAGTACAGCGAAGAACTTGCTCCGATAAGAGGAATTGGAAGGCTCGTAGACCTGGGCCGCGATTTTGTCTTTAATGACCTTGCACACTTGATCGAACATGCCGCGAGGTATAGGAATATTCCCTTTGCGATATGCTGTATGGGGAACTGTCGCGATCTTGACAGGAGGAAATATATCCTGTCTTAATGCGCCACGTTCTTCATCATTGAACGCGAAACTCTGATTGTGAAGCATGTAGAAGTGCATGAGCAACTTCCGTTCTTCTGGCAATAAGAAGTCCCCTTTGTGTAACTTGTCCACAATATCCCTGCGTTCCGCCGTGAATCTACCAGTTGGGGTAAAATCAGGTGGTCGCGGGTTTAGAGTAGGTAGCGTATCCAAGGGATCTCCCACCATTTCTCGAATTATTCGGTCGCTCTCAGAACCCATCGTGTACACTGGTCTGACCTTCTGGTCCACAGGTTTGTATTTCTTTCCTGCGAACACAGAGTATTTGTCGCGACTAGAAGAGTCGTCGTCTAGTACACTCCAAGTACCAACAGTCAGTTTTTCTGTTGCCGCGTCTGAGAGTCTTTCATTCATATATGAATGAAACAAAGTCGACGCAGCGACGTCTTTCTTCATTTCCTTGTCCTCTTTCGACGACAGGATATATGCCTCTACTAGCTCGGTTTGGGTAAACTGGCCACTAGAACGCGGCTTTCTTAGATCCTCGAACACTACATTCCCATCTTTTCCCAACGACACAGTCACCGCGACTTCTTCTCCTTGACTCAACCTGGTCAATTCCTCGAAGCTCTTTGAAAATCCCGTTCAGGGTTCGGTTCGTCTGGACTGGTCGTCGGTTTCGACGAACTGCAGGGCTCGGTAGATCCATCGTTGTTTTTGGTGTTACGCGGCAAGTCGTCTGCACAACGTGGCTGCGTAGCCATTGCACAACGTGTCTTTAAATTGGGATCGCGCATGGTGATTATCTGGCTGCCGTCAGCCGCGTTCTTGATATTGCTTTCAGTCGCGATATCGAACGGTCTGCCGAGCAACACCTTATAAGCTGGACTTTCCAAAATGTGCACTTGCAGGTAGACCAGGATGGTCCCAAACCTGAAGGGTACATTTCTCGCTAATCCCAGTGACTTAGAGATAGATCCATTTGCACTTTCCATATAAATGACGACTTTTGGGTCCCAGCTCAATTGTGCGTCGACGGCCTCTGAGAAAGCCATCGATACAATCTGAGATCCACTGTCTAGGATGCAGTCCGCGTCGAGACGCGCGTTAATCCGTCCGTTTATCGTTCTGAGAGCAGCCGACGAATCACCAACATAGACATGTCTTGGGTTCTCATTAGAGGGTATCGACTCCAAGTACATCTCATATGGATCCGTCGCGACAACTGCGCCAATGGGAATTTCTCCTTCGACTGTGTTATGATAGAACACAGGTTCGGGCAATTCCTTAGCACTGACTAGGTTGTAGCTCAGTTCTCCATCCCAAACGTCTTCAACGACGCGACTAGTTTCTTGAAGCATGGACTTCTGAACCGGTACTCGTTTCTTCGAAGAGTCCTTCAGAATGGAGTCGCGGACAGTCCCCGAAACTGCTAGGAGTTCACCCACAGTGACGTCGACTGACGCGTTTTTCATTTTGTCGTAGACTGCTTCTGCTACAGCCTTCCTTTGAATCGGTGCACGCAACTGGTATTTATCTGGAACGCGCGCTTTTGAAGAATGTACTGGTTCTTGTAGAACGGGCTTGACTTTCTCAAACGGTAGTTCCTTTCTCTTTTCGACGTTGTCGCGCACTGATTCCTCATCATCGTTGCTATCACTAACTTCTTCAATAGTCACAGGTTTTCTCGGTTTCTCTCGTCGCTCAGCTCGTTTATCATGGTCCTCAGAGGGCTTGGCTGAGTTTGTGGGTTTAGCCCCCTTCCTTGAACCATTTAGAAACCCGAGTTGTTATCGTCGCGCTCAGGTTGGCTATTCGCACCACGACGGGTTTGAATGAACTGCTCCTGAGTCTGAGGATAACCACTGTTCATGTTGTTGAAGTAGCCGGCCATGGCGTCGGTCATGGCTTTCTGCATGAATTGGCCCATGGCACTTTCTATTGCATTACTGGTAGAACCAGATGCAGCTCTTTGAGTCTTTGGCTCAGCGCGACTTTCTGGGGTTGGCCGCGACGACTTCCTCTCGTATTGGATGAGTTGACTTCGAAGGGAGCGTATCTCATCTGCCACTTCTTCAGGGTAGTCGGACATATCATCATTGTCGCGACTATCGAACTGGTCCAAGTAGTAGGAGTCTTGGAAGTTGACGGACTTGCCCTTCTTCTTCCAATAAGCCTCTACTCGTTGCCCCTGAGTCCCTTCTCCATTTGGTAAGAAGCTGTCGTCGAAGAGCCTCCACATCCCTTTGGTGTCGACTTTGAGAAGGTTTTTCTCAATGTGAGACCTCTTGAGCGGGCACTCGTTCGACCAGTGACCAGTTTGTCCGCAGTAGCGACAGTCGTCGTTCCGTGCGGCAGCTCCTCCTTGTGCGCGACTTTCAAAGTGGGGCACAGAAGAGTTGTTGCCTACTGGCCGCGACCGCTGTATGGGCGCTTCGCGAGCAGTCTGTACGAACGTCTTCAGCGCTTCCTGCAACTGAGTCTGGAGCTCTTTTTGGTGTAGAAGAAATGAGTCCTTCAAGTTGGAAATCGAGTTTTCCAACTCCTCAACCTTAGCATGGTTGGGTGGACTAGTCTCATAGTCGAAGCGAACCTTAGGAGGTCGCGCGATTATGGGAATTTCGTCTTCGTTACTCAACGTCGACGCCATTTCTTCCGCCATCGTCATTAATTCTTTTAGCTGGATGGGGTCGTCCTGCCGATTGACTCCAGTCGCGGGGACATTAGCGTTTGCTATCCCGGCGCGAGTTTGATAGCGCTTATTGAATACTTGACTCGTAGCCAAAGCGTTCCTCAAGACGGTACTGAACTCAGAGTCCAAAGTACGCATGTAGCGTTCACACGCGACTTTGTTGGTGATAATGGCAGGAGGGACTGACAGTCGCTTGTAGTGACTATACATTTGAAGGCCGAAACGCTTCAAATCTCCTTCATCCGTTATTTTGATTCCACGGTTCTCGCGACAGAGTCTATCTAGATCCGCCATGGTCCCCGTTTTTCGCTTGGACACCTCAGGGTATCCTTTCAATATTTCGGCCTCGAACTCCGCGACAGTTTTCGTGTCGTCGGAATAGGTATCGAGACCTTCCCATACGTCCATCACTTGCCGCGACGGCAAATAACGGATGTACATGCTTTTTGCTTGTTTGACATCTGTGATGCCACCATCCTCCACGATCTGCGCGCAGTGACGCAAATATGCCTCAATCGACAGGGGATCCTTTTCATCAAGTATAGGTCTACTTGTGTCCCAAGGTTGGGGGATTTTGAACCCAGTCTTTGGAGCCATAGTTGTCGCGACTGAAGTCACAGGGGAAGTAGGGATGTGTTAAGGATATAGCTATTTGGCAGGATCTGCAAATAGATTAGCAATTTAAATTTGATAAATTGACGCACTTTGAGTCCAAATACTGGATCTCACTGTTCTCTACCCTCAGTAGCTCTACTACTGTTTTAACGAGACTCAGTAAAGCGAATTACTGAATGATATTCAGAACCTTTGAGTCTAGCAACACAAAGGATGTGCTTGAGTTTAGCAAAACGAGCACTTAACCAACGAAGCGGCTAGCTCTAGCACGATAGCTGCGAAGTCGGGGTATATTCTTATAGAAGAATAAGAATATAAGTCTTGAGGTACTAGAATCTGGCAATTCAAGTATAGCTAAGACTAGGTTGGATAATAATTAGGCACAGGGTGCACGAAGTACTGTGAGCAGGTGGTGGATTTGAATCAAAAGTAAGATGTCCCTCACAGCAGGAGGGACTCTGCTTTATATACTATCTAGCTAGTGTTTCGGATTCATCAAAACATGAATCCCTGACGCGTTTCAGGACCACGAAACGCGCAAGGACTTCAGGATCACAAATGACTCATTGATGATAAGTCATAATGATCTAGTCTGATAGCAGCTGCTTCACGGCGTATTTAAATATACAAAATGTACTTATTTAAGATTGTGTAGAGCCTTTGTAGCCGTGTCCATAATCCATGACATAGCCCCCCCAGGCTCGACTCAGTCTTGAATAAGCTCATCAGGCAACAGAATTTTTCAATGTCCATAGTTCTACATAATATTTGAATGGTCAAAATGAGATAAAGGCAGTCCGTATACACCAAGCCGAGACTGTGTGTCGTCCCAAGGTCTGATGTACCCTTCTCAGTCCGTATCTTCGTCGGAGTCAGGGTATTGCTAAAACATTATGGTGAGTCTGGGTCCTCCTCGAAGTCTGACAAGGTTACCAATTCAGGCATATCAAAATCTAGATCCTCCTCCTGTTCTTCGTCGCTATCGTACTCCGAGTTATTCTCAATCTGCTGATCTTGTACAACGGCGAGAAGAGCGTTGAATCGCTCCCCAATCATTTCGGCCGACCACCCTCGAAGCCACAGATGATGGCGTGTGATCAGAGTGAGATGCTCGTCGGGAGAACCCTGAGGGGTCTCAACTGGAGGCCAAAGCGCCGGGACGACCAGCTCAGAGTCCCCATGTTCGATCAAGTAGATGAGTTGGGCACGGGACGGACGCTCCGCTGCGAGGAAATCGACAATGGCAAAGTCAAAAGCCCGAGTCCAGATTTGATTATGAAAGGCGCGGAAAATGGAAGGGTGAGCAAACGATTCAACGCGCAAACGATTGCGCACTGTGAATTCGGCCCGGGTCATCCCAAATGCGGCTCCAAAGTCCCAACTGCTTTCCTGCCCTCTTCGTAGCGATTCACCCAGTACCGTGAGGCACCAGACTAGCCAGTAATCGTAGGTATGCAGCGTCTCGCGAAACCAGTCAACAGCCGAATCCACTGAATCGAATGTCCGGCGGAAGCGGAAGTGACCACGCAAGCCATTGAAAAGTAGAAGTGCCGGTGCCCGACCGGTGAAGGACAGCTCATCGAGAACGCTTTGCCGTACTCCGAAGGTGCGTGGACGAAGGTGTGGCGGAACTGGACGTCGGCCCGTTGCGGCGTTGGTGATGAAATGGGCGAGATGTGTGAAGAGAGAACTGAGGTGATATTCCAGTCCGTGGATCAGACCGAATCGGCCACTTTCGAGGCGTCGAACCCACGCTGCGGACGGTGTAACCCTTGATGCCCAGTCATAGAATACTGTGCGGAAGTAGAGTAACTGCACCGTATGATGGCCAAGGAGAGTGGTGATGAGCACTCCGGCGGCTTGAAAACCGCGCGTCTGAGGTGTTGGGGTGATAAATAGAGGAGGAGAAGGACCGGGCGCCTGAACGTCGGCGTTCTTCCGTGCATCGCGACTGGCCTGTCGATCGGTATAGGCAAGAACATGGTCAACGCCGAAATCTTCAGCGCGAGTGCCAAAGCCGAGTGCGCGTTCGTCCGAAATGTTAGACATGATAGAAAAATGAAAGGGGAATTGCATAGCGGTAAAGCATAGTGTGTACGTCTTTTATATAAATTCTTTTTTATTTCGTCATCACTCCTCTTCGTTCGTTCCCATTTGCTGGAGATCATGCTTGCGGGACTCTGGGAGAAAGAACGTCTGTGTCGTGTGGGCTTGAGCCTTGTGCATCCTTGAAAATGAATTTTGGAGCGTCCTGGGAGGATCTCTGCCCTGGCGCTCTCACAGGAACTGCTTGGAGTGCTCTCCAAGCTTCTAGAACGCTTGGAGCGTTCCTCAATTGGCGTTTCGTGAGCCACTCATCGTGCTCTGGTCCGAATTCTTTCCAGCGAATCTTGAATTGTTCTATTCGTCGTCCTCGGACTTTCCGTCGTCTCTCGTCAACGATCCTCTCGATTTCTACCTCAGGAAGCGCGTCAAAATCGTCTCGATTAAGTGTTCTGACCGGGCGAGTCCCCAGTTCTGGCGGAGAAGTTTGATATGATTCCAGGTGCGCGATATTGATGATCGGGTGCATGCCGTATGAGATCGGTAGTCGGAGCTGATAAGTCACCGGACTAAGCTTTCTCACAATCTCAAAGGGCCCGTCATATTTCATCAATAACTTCTTTCCCCGACCTTTCTCATCCTTCAGCAGTTTTAGTGAATGGGGATTTAAGACGACTAGATCTCCCTCATCAAACTCAATCGTAAGTCTGCCCTTGTTATAAGCCCGTTTTTGAAATATTTGCGCCATGAGAAGTGCCTCTTTTGCACGTGTTCTTTCCGCTTCGAATTGTTCCACCATTTCTGATGCATCCTTATCCCTTATAGCAGTTTCTGACCGCAGATCTTCGAGTGCACCTCCCCCCCAAGCTTCGACGGCATTTTCTGGCCGAGGGATGGCGTCGGAGCTGTGTATAAGCGTCGATGATGTAATGGGGTGATATCCAAATAGCAGAAATGCTGGCGCAAACCCTGTGCTGCTATGCGGCGTTGTGTTGTACGAAAGACTAAATCCATGTACATATTTCACCCAGTCCTTTCGAGATGGCCCCACGTATGCACGAAGCGCAATCTCGAGTGCTTGATTAAGGATTTCTGTTTGACCATCAGCTTGGGGATGGTATGACGTTGTGAGGGCTCTTTTCATTCCCATTAGGCGACAGATCTCACCCCAGAACTCATTTTTCCATCGTGTATCGCGATCTGTGATAACTTGGCGTGGAACGCCATAAATGGCAATGATTTGTTTAAAGAATAGGTCCGCGGTGTTGATGGCATTTATTTTTGTGTCACAAGGGATGAATATTCCGAATTTTGTGAGTTTGTCCACAATAACGAGTATGTTATCCTTTCCGTCTGATTCCGGAAGCTCGGGAATGAAGTCCATCGAAATCACTTCAAAGGGCTGGGATGGAATCGGAATCGATTGCAGCAATCCTATTGGCGCGTGCCGTCTTGGTTTGGCCTTCTGACAAATGTCACAAGTCGAAATGTATCGTTTAAGGTCGCGTGACATCCTAGGCCAGTAATATGTGGTCGACAATCTATTGTAGCAACGGTGATATCCTGCATGAGCTGATTCCGTGAGAGTATTATGAATCTCACTCATAAGCTCGACTCTCTGTTTATCTGGAACGCACACGCGATTATTACCCCTCCAATCCTCAAAGTACAGCAGTCCTGAGTCACTGTAGTGGTACTGAGGATATTTTGGGTTTGACCAGTTGTTCTCCTGACTGATTCCCTTCAACACAGAAGCAAAGTCGGGATCTGTTTTGTAGTTCTTCGACCATGTCCGTATTTCGTCCTCAGGAATGCTAACCAGAATATTGTATGATGACGAAGAAACATAACTCGAAAGTATGTCGCCTTCTGAATCCAATGGGATGTCACCAAACTCGATCCTGCTTAGATTAGGCTGATCTTCTCCTTGCTCAACAAATTGTTTCGCAGTGAGTAGCACCTTCTCCTCGAATTGCGGGCTTAATTCTTCAAACATATTTCGCAGCGGATCAGTGCCGTTGTTGAATTGTACATATGGTATGTTTTGTGCAGATGGACTATCTTGATAAGGAACTCGGCGACGCAACCGAGAGATCGGGTCAACATTTGAGTGGACTCGTCCTGCACGATGGACAATTCTGAGGCCTGGGTAAGCTGAAAAGACAGTTCCCCACGTAAGTAGTCTGCGGTTTACATTCTGAAATGTACGGCTCCAAGTCAATGCAGCGTGATCAGTTATTCCGAGAACAACTTCGCCTTCGAGGTAGGGCTGAAACTTAATCAAGGCTTCCTTCATGGCTAAAGCTTCGCGCTCAGTTGGCGAGTAATTCCTTTCCGGGGACTTCAAGACGCGAGACCAGTAACTGACCACACGTTCAATGTGAACCACCGTATTCTCGAATTCATCAGCCCATTTACCAGGTTCTGGCACGTCATCAGCACCCTTGATCAATGTTACTAGCAGAGGAATAGGCCCCCCTTCTTTGTAAGCTCTTTCCAGCCGCTCGTAAGAACGCGTTCCACGCAGATCTCGTATTTTGATAGGCTGAACTTGCTGAAGGATCCCAGCTAAACCGTAATCGCAGGCATCCGTGTATAAGCGGTAAGGCTTATTCCGCATTGCATAAGCTCGGACCGGTGCATTGGTCAGTGTTTCCTTGCTCAGTTCAAAAGCCTTTTTATGTAGTTCCGTCCATTCCCATTTTGTGCCTTTTTTAAGTAGTTCAAAGAGCGGGTGTGCTATCCATGCGTAAAATGGAATATATGCTGAGAAATACACCATCATTCCCAAAAATTGTTGGAGCTCATGCACATTCTGTGGCTCGCTGAGTTGTACAATGGCGTCCACCTTCTCTTTGTGAGTCGACAAACCCAGTCGTGAAACTTTCTGGCCAAGTAACAGTAAGGATTGATATCCCAAATGGCATTTTGCTGGTGATAATGTGATATTTGCTTGTGCAATTGCGCTGAATATTTTTTCCAGATGATCAAGATGATCCTCAAAAGTGAGCGAAAATATTACAATATCATCGATGTACACCAAGGCGAATATCCAGAGAAATGGCGCCAGAACAGTTTGCATCACACGCTGAAAAACACTCGGGCCGTTTCGATAACCGAATGGCATGCGACGAAATTGCCATAGTCCCCGGTGAGTTCTGAACGCTAGCTTTTCTGACGCAGAGTTGGACATCGTGAGCTGAGTGAAACCAGATAATGCATCAAGTGTCGACAGCCACTGTGCCCCCGACAAGGTTTGTAAAATGTCTTCTTGGCGTGGCAAAGGAAATTCATCTGGTACAACCAGCTCGTTGAACTTCCTCAGGTCAATTACCATCCGCGGCTTTGAATTGCGATATACGATGAACACCGGAGCTGCCCACGGACTATTAGATGGCTCGATCACACCCAATTGGATCCAAGAATCCATCTGCTTATCGATGACTTCACGATTAGCAGGAGAGACAGAAAATGGTGGCAGAGACACGGGTTCTGCATCAGGCTTCATTTTGATCTCAATTTTTGCTTCATAATTCCCTAACCGGCCATCTAGTCCGAATGCTCGTTCATTTCTCATCACCACGGCCTCAATTTTACGTCGCTCAGTATCTGCAAGATCCTTTGAGATATCCACCTCATCAAGAAGCTTCTCTCGCGGAATAAAACCGTCTGGAACTCCGAATGTTTTGGGTCCACCCTCGAGAGCGTCGGTGGCTGCGGGTTCATCCGGCTCAGTTGCGTTGCGTTGCGCCTTGGATGCAATAGAAGTCTCGGAACGGATCGCCGTTGATGACGCAGCCTGACATGCGGTAAATAGTGGTTGATGATCTCCGCTAGTTTGCCTCTTCTCTCTTGTTCTTTCCTGAACCATGGTTCTCACAAGCTCAGCGTGAGCGTTCATTTGTTTTTTCTGTATCTCAGAATACCTTTCCATCCGGTCCAACCAGCTCTGTGGATTTCGAGCGGTTCCAACCACTTGGCCTCGTGAGATCACAATCGGCGATGGTGAGAAATTGGCAACGTGCAAGAGCGGTTTTTCGAGCGACACGAGGGTGTCAGGTGAGCCATATATTTCATCCTCATTCCCGTTCGAACTCAATTTTCGCTCCACAAGGACGGAATCAGTTCCTGGGGGGAAATGAAGTTCCACTGGTATGGCCACACTTGTCTCAGGTGGGATGACCACGCGGTCCTTCGATCTGACCTCGTGGTTTTCCAGTCTTCTTCGGGCTCGCTTCTTTAGACGCTGATTTTTCCGGTGGAGACTTGCGTTGGGACCACTCCGCGGAAGTGCGGGGAGGTAGCGAACATTGAATGTATGACCGTCTTCATCTCGCAGAGGTGGAGAGACGGAGCTTTCCACGCGAAGCTCCCTTCCAGAGCCTCCGAAAACAAGGTATGTCTCATTTTCACGCCTAATGATCGAGATCTCGTACTGATCTGCAAAGTCGTTGCCTAAAATGAAAGGCGTGCTCATGCCTTTGACAACATATGCTTCCATGTTGAGCTTAACCGGCCCTTCCGGTGTGTGGAAATATAAGTCTATTTCTACAAATCCGCAAATCTGCGTGTTTCCGGTGACTTGTAAGAGCTTGATTTTATGTCCGCTTCTTACACGAGGCGCCCGAATCAGATTTTCGAGTGTGCGCTCCGAAATTAATGTGATGTCAGAACCCGAATCCACGATGATTGATGTCTGATTGATTTCTAGGCCTCCAATCGTCGCTGTAGCCTGCGTGGCCTTCGACCCCAGAAATGAAGATCCGGGAGGTCGAGCCATTACCTTGCGCAAGGATATGACGGACGGATTTTCTGACAGGACTTGGTAGCTTGACACGGCAATTTCACGAGCCAGCCGTTTACGAGACTTGTGATTCAGAGGGAATTTGATGGCAGTGACGGAGCGAGTGGAGGCGGTGATTCTGGGAACTGCGTCTGACAATTCAGGTGCGAAAATCGATTGTGACGACGTTTCTGATACTGGGATCTGAATAGAATTTTCCGAGGTGTTGCTCCCCTTCAGGGCCTCAGTCTCTTCGGACGAGACTGGTGCACTAGTCATCTGAAGGGGCTCTTCAAAACCCGACTCGCCGTCTGAAACAAGTGAGTAATAGAGGTCCTCATACTCCTCTTGCGCATCAGGATCTTCCTCCCCAATAGACGCAAAGTTCGCACGCGCAAATCGTTTCGCTTTTACCGCATGGCGACACTCGTCGTCCCAATGCTTTCCAGAGCCACAATGACGACACGGACGTGCTCCTTTTGACTCAGGAGTTGCGCGTTTCGACACGTTGTTATCGTCCCGGGGGAACTGAGGAGCTGGCAGTTTTTGAGAGGCTCCTATAAGATGAACTCGTGCGTCGTTCACTGTTCGTCTGCTGTAATCTCGATTGCGCTCTCGATATGGGTTGTCTCGAGTCTCCGCCTTTGCATCCAGTTTCATTAGCGCATCCTCGTGATATCGTAACGCAGCCTGGAACTCGACAACACTCTGATAGATTTCGGTGGTTAATATGGTGTTCCAGAGGGACGGCGCGCCATCCATGACCTCTGTGATTGTAGCAGAGTCATCTAATTCATACACAATACTCAGAAGATCCGTTTTACGAATGAAATATTCACTTGGTGTCTCCTGAGTGTGACCATATTCTCGGTAACGTGCTCTGTTTGCTCGGCTACGTTGCTTATCAAACCATTTACGGTTCAAATAGTACTTCGTGATTCCTTGTCGCAAGGTTTCCCAATTCGTTTCTATGCTTGTTCGGTAATCTTCTGGTAGGGACCAATACCACACCTCAGCTTGGCCTTCCAGTCGTCGTGGAATAACACGTCCGAGTTGAGCGAACACGGTTTTTGATTCTCGCGAAATATTATTGACCTTTGTCAACCATCGCACAATCGTGTCTGTGTTACCGTCCCACTTTGGTACATCATCATACTTTAATTTCATATCAAAGTATGTTTCTTTGGGTGTCGCAACGTGAGGGGTTGGTATTGTGTCTGCAGGTGGGTTTGTTGGTCGACTAGCCTGTCTCCTGCCTCCGATAGGAATTCTTGGAGGTCCCGGAGGACGTCTCCCATTATTACTATCGTCACTATCGTTGCTGTCTGGATCATCGTCGGGATTGGGAGCAGCTCCAGAGCGGGAGAATTGACGAGGCGAACGTGATGGTGTATGTGGTGGTGTGTGGCTAGGTACTCCCTGCGCACTCAGATTTCGATGTGGGGGTGGATCGTGTTGTGAATCTGAACCTGAACGCTTCTGGACTCCAAAAATCTCTTTCAACCGTGAATTATTCGTGGGCAAGCTTGCCATCTGACCCGAAATAGACGGTTTGCGTTGAGGGTCTTGTGGCCTGGACATCCGTGTCTGCCAGCGTGGGATAGAGGGAACTTCATGTAGAGCTGGCCGTAGGACACTGGTGGCTCTCACCTCCGATTCAATCTCAGGTTTTCTCTCCTCTTCCTCTTCCTCAGCTTTCAGCATATCAAATACAAGTTCTTGTGCTTTTTTGTTTTGGGAGAGAGGCCTGTTGTTCTTGAAATCGTAGTGCTCAGTTAATTTGTAAAGGAAGTGTTCCACATCAGCACGGAAACAGACAGCCAAAATCTCATAATCGTTCAATGAGCAGTAGTTGCGGGTATCATCGAGCTCTCCCCAAGATGGGAATGGTGGTTGGCGACGACCAGATACTTTAAATCCAACAGAAGCTCGTTCCCAGTAAATCAGGATCATCAGAAGAATTGCCTGATACTCGTGATCGACTACATGATAGCCAAAAAGATGACCATCGCTGTTCCAGCGCCGCGCTTGGGCATGCGACAGTAACTTCTCGAGATGCGTCATGATTGAACGGAAAGTTGTATTGTACATCTTCCCTTTGATGCGTGGTGCATTCATCAAGTATGGCTTTCCAATCATTTCCGCGGCCAATTCCAACGCTGTATTGTAGCGTAATTTTGCTGCCAAAGATTGTTCGTCTGAAGGTCGTAATGTAGGTAAATCAATGTCGATGATCTCATCCACGGAGCCAGGTGCAGCATTCGCTTCATCCAACACATGATCAAGCATCTGTAATTCTTTCTCATTGTGATCATTCTGGACTTGTTGAATTTTGGACGGAGTAACTGTGAGAGGGACACGAATCTTGTCTGCTGGTTCAAGTTCGTCCTCATCTGGGCTGTCAAAAACGCCACGTTCAGACTTTGGGATGAATGCTGAAGTCTCCGGGGCAAATGGATTAGGACTTGGTTTGCGAGATGGTGGTTGAACTGTGGCAGTCCGGGACATAATGGAAATGTAATGGGACAATGCAGTGGGATTTTATCGGGTAGGAAGGTGGATAGAGAATCAGAGAGATCCCTGTGCGTCCACCAATGTTAAGGATATAGCTATTTGGCAGGATCTGCAAATAGATTAGCAATTTAAATTTGATAAATTGACGCACTTTGAGTCCAAATACTGGATCTCACTGTTCTCTACCCTCAGTAGCTCTACTACTGTTTTAACGAGACTCAGTAAAGCGAATTACTGAATGATATTCAGAACCTTTGAGTCTAGCAACACAAAGGATGTGCTTGAGTTTAGCAAAACGAGCACTTAACCAGCGAAGCGGCTAGCTCTAGCACGATAGCTGCGAAGTCGGGGTATATTCTTATAGAAGAATAAGAATATAAGTCTTGAGGTACTAGAATCTGGCAATTCAAGTATAGCTAAGACTAGGTTGGATAATAATTAGGCACAGGGTGCACGAAGTACTGTGAGCAGGTGGTGGATTTGAATCAAAAGTAAGATGTCCCTCACAGCAGGAGGGACTCTGCTTTATATACTATCTAGCTAGTGTTTCGGATTCATCAAAACATGAATCCCTGACGCGTTTCAGGACCACGAAACGCGCAAGGACTTCAGGATCACAAATGACTCATTGATGATAAGTCATAATGATCTAGTCTGATAGCAGCTGCTTCACGGCGTATTTAAATATACAAAATGTACTTATTTAAGATTGTGTAGAGCCTTTGTAGCCGTGTCCATAATCCATGACAGGATGTTGTTAGAATTCGTGTTTGTAGCGGTGACGCTACTAGACAATTCTGAGAGGGTTTGTGAGCTAGTCTGAGATCGACTGATTGTCGTCGAACTCGAGGTAGCTGCGTCTAAAGCTGGAAGCTTCGACGTCGAATTCACTCTTTGTTTTCCTTTTGCCTTGGAAGGCAAGGGTGGTAGATACAAAGGTGTTTTATGTCTTGCAGACCTTCGTGGTTTTTCGAAAGGTCCTGAGGTTGAAGCGTTTCCTTCAGTCTCAATCTCCGCTTGGTCCTCAAGAGGTCGCGCAGGAGCTTGGGATCGGAATAAACTGCTTCGCGGGATAAACCCTTGGTCTCTATCCGTCGTCGCGGTAAAGAATCCGGTTTATTGATTTTTAAAGTTTATGAAACTTTGGAAGCCCCTCACGGTGGGCTCCAGATGAAATGCTGAGGGCGTGCTCACAAGTGAATCTACTATGAAAGTAAACCCAAATATAAACACGTTCACACTCCTCGTAATCAGCTTCTCAGTGTGTGAAAGGTGCGAGGGCTTCGGGGTGGACAGAGCACCAGTATCACAACTCTCAATAGACGCAGATCCAATAGTCGCGGAGACGGAGTCGACGACAAGAATATATATATATAGCAAACAATGGTGTCTCAACCAATATCTTCTATACGATCACAACCAACACTAATCCAATCCACAACAACAATATAACAAGTCAGAGCTTAATACGAAGTATTAAGATCCCTTGTAGCGACAGCGTCTAGATGGCGACGCAAAGCCTAAATATCAAGTCGACGCACTGCCAACTGACACAACCAAAAGTACTGAGTCGACGCACTGCCAACTAACAGCCAATATCCAATGTCCAAAACCCGAGCACAACTTGTCGACGCACTGCCAAGCAAGAAGTGTGGAACCAAAGTTCTCAAGTCGACGCACTGCCAACTGACCAAAACAACCCGAGCACAACTAGTCGACGCACTGCCAAGCTAGAGGTGTGGAACGATCTCAACAAAGCCCGAAGGCGACGACACTAAATGCCGCGACAATACCAGATGCAGCGAACCCGACTTTCTGATATCTCAACTCAAACTCAAATCACAGTAGCTACAAGTGCTCAGGGAGCAGCTCGTCGCGACCGGGCAGGGGTAGCAGAACTTCTTAGGGTGGAATCACGCGGCACGCAAATTGTACAAAACAATCTGAAATGAGAGTGATTCACAGTCCGGGGGAAAGCTCCCCAATACAAAGAGACGACGTGCTACTTATACTGTCTACGACGCTGCTTAGTAAAGTCCTGTACAACTGCATAGTAGCTACGCTATCTAAGATCGGTTGCCTTTTAGGGTAATTGAAAAGTTGAACGATCGGACAGGTCCTGAGTGATCAGGACCCCGCCCCATTGTCCATATGATACTTTCGATGTGGGCCAACTCACCGCGTCATACTTTTGGAATACGACGTGCTGGATTGGCCAACGGGTATGTCTTGGCATGTGAGACCAACATGGGCGCCCCAAGAAGCCGTATGGCTCTAGGCACGCCAATCGTCTCCCACATGGCTCGGTTCACGGATCTAGCCGTATCGATTTTAGTGTGTTTGAGTATGGGCGCGACTCGCCGTGACACTTGGAAGTGTCACCGCGACGCGTCCACAATGTCCCGTGATCGAATGGATCCTGACATGTGACAAGTCGTCGTCGTGGCATGATCTGAGGAAACGTCCAACTCAAAACCGGGAGTTGCCGCGACAAGATGGTTTAAGTCTCGTAACGCCAAGTCCTGTCCAGTAGTAGTTCTATTATTGAGAACGTCGCGCATTGCTCAGCCCTTCAGCCCAAGTTCCCATCTGCAGAGAATGACCCTTTTTGAGAAGTCGACGCAACGACATATCCCTTTTTGGGGAATGGTCGCGGTCCAAGCGTTCGTCACTAATGGCCCTGAGCCTGGTGTAGACTCATAAGACCAGTTCCACAGTAGTGGTCTGACTGCCTTGCTATCGTCGACACTATCCACAGTCGTCGACTGGGCAGTAGACCCATAAGTCCTACTGAGCGCAACACTGTTAACCGCGACACGATACACCGAGTGGTTCAAGAGTAAACTCTGTGAAAAGCGCAAAAATACGCCCTTACAGAGCTGGTGCAGAGCGCGTCTGGTAGCCAGTCTATCACCGCCTCCTGAAGACGAGATCCCCGACCTTGGCGAGTTACCCTCCGAACAACCACCCTTGCCCCCACATACCACACCTGTTCCTACCATGTCAGGACATCACCGCATCACCCTCGCCGCCAATCCCCCTACTTTGATGGCAACAAGTCCAAGTACCTGGGCTTTGTGGACGCGTGCACCACTTACATCGGTGCCTATCGGTCAGAGTTCTCGCTGGACGAGACAAAAATCCTCTTCGTCCTGTCCTACCTCCGCAATGAAAGCGGCACAAGCTGCGCCGCCTCAAGATGGGTGATGAACTGGAAGCAGCACAATTTCGAGGGCTTCCAAGGACTAAAAGCGGGAGTCACCGCAACAAGCTTCTTGGAGGAGCTTCAGAGGGCCTTTGGGGATTCTAACGCAGAGCAAGTTGCTGCCGCCCGACTCATGGCCCTTCGCCAGGGGAGACGGTCCTTTGCAGACTACATCTCCGACTTCGAAATGCTGGCTGCAGACACGGGGTACAACGTGGTCACCTCCACCGACAGCAAGGGCGAGTACAAGAAGGGGGAACAGGACAATATCCTCATCGAGTTCCTGGAGCGCGGACTCAGCAGCGAAATTGCAAGCCGCCTCTACAACACTGGCGTTCCCCTGCCCAAGGCATATGGTGCCTTCAAGAACTGGTGTGTCAACATCGAGGCAAACACTCTACGCAATCAGCTGCGCAAAGCATCGCATGCGCAATCCGCACCACGACCGCCTCCCCAATTCCGCCCTCAGGCAGCACCAGCGGCGCCCACGCCTGCCCCAACCCGGCCGGCTGCCAACAAACCAGTCCTGATGGAAATTGATCGGACCCATGCCCGCGGCCGCAATATCATCTGTTACAACTGTCAGCAGCCGGGGCACATCGCACGGAATTGTCCGGAGCCCAAGAAGAAGCGCACGTTCTTCAATCGGGCCACAATGCTGGAAGAAATCGAGAACGGGGATAAGGACAACGAGTTCCTCAAGGAGATCGCCGAGAAGCTGCGTGAGAAGGGTTTTTGAAGTGCTCCACTCCTCTAGCCAAGGAGGTGGAGCGTCCGGACTACGGACGATTTTCTATACTTGTTTCGATTAAAGACATGAACGATTCTACATACACAATCTCGGACTCACTACGTACCAATATTCACGATTTCCTCATTGCTGATATGGAAAAAGAACGCCAAAGAAAAATAGCTTTAAATAGGGAATATTTACAGAGTAAAAAGGATCAGAAAGCTGCAGATAAATTAATTTTGGATTCATACGTATTCATGGCTCGTGGAGAAGGAACCACGTCAACAAAGACCGAAAAGGGGAGCATTGCTCTGAAGGCTCAATCCTTGGAAAAGGAGGAAGCGCCTAAGGAATCTGTCAAAATCAAGGTCCCAGAAGCACCCAAACGCACCAGGGTGCCAGATGCCATCCAGAGGAAATTGGCAGCCGAGAAACAGAAGGGCCCCCAGCCCAACAGGTTGGCGCAGGAAGTGCGCAGTTACCAGGCCGAAAGGAAGAGGCATTCGATGGACGTATATGTCCAGATCACAGGTCTGGACTCAGGGAAAACGCGCGGAGTCAAGGCGCTACTCGATAGCGGCTGCAGTACCTGCTGTATCGATACCGACTACGCACGGGCGGAGAAGTTGGATATCCAGGAGCTCCCACAACCCATTGTGGCTCGTATTGCTGACAACACCGAGAACATCAACGGGCGGATCACGCACTATGTCAACCTGAGGATGAGAATCGGTCCTCATGTGGAGACACACACGTTCCTTCTGATGTGCTTAGGGAAAGCCCGGATCTTCATTGGTCTTGATTGGCTGACGGAACACAACCCCGAGGTGGATTGGCAGGAGCAGACAATGAGATTCAGTCGATGCCCAGAGCAGTGTCACATGAGGGGTCACGAGGAACATCAAGCGATGATTGACATGGATGCAATCGACCTGGACATGGGCACACCGGATCTGGAAGAGGGGGAATCGATCCTGTTGGTTGACTTTGGGAAGGAAGTGGACCTGCGGCTGAAGGAAACGCCGGCGCAGAAATTCGCAGAGGAAGCAGAAAAGGAGAAAGAGAGAATGACCAAAGGAAGGATTCCGGATCAATATCGGGAATTTGTCAAGGTATTTGCCAGAGAATCGTTTGACTCACTACTAGACCAACGGGCATAGGATCATGCAATCGAGCTCAAACCGGGTTCCAAAGCAGTGGACTGCAAGGTGTACCCGCTATCACAAAACGAGCAGGTCAAACTCAACGAGTTCTTACAAGAGAACCTGGCCAGCGGACGGATCAGGCCATCAAAATCACCCATGGCATCAGCATTCTTCTTTGTCAAGAAGAAGGATGGCTCTCTACGCCCCGTCCAAGATTATCGGAAGCTGAATGAGATGACAATCCGGAATCGATACCCGCTGCTGCTGATCTCCGAACTGGTCCATAATCTATGTGGCGCAAGGTTCTTCACCAAGCTCGACATCTGGTGGGGATATAACAATGTACGGATCAAAGAGGGCAACGAGTGGAAGGCTGCATTCCGCACGAACCGAGGGCTGTACAAGCCCTTAGTTATGTTCTTTGGTCTCACGAATTCCCCAGCAACGTTCCAAAACATGATGAACAACATACTCCGAGAGTTGATCAACGAGGGTCACGTGGTAGTCTATCTGGACGATATACTGATCTTCACAGAGAACTTGGACGAACATCGGCGGATCACGAAACGAGTGCTCGAATTGCTCCAGAAACATAAGCTATACCTGAAGCCCGAAAAGTGCGAGTTCGAACGCACGGAAATCGAATATTTGGGTGTAATTATCGGACACAATTCGATGCGGATGGACCCAGTCAAGATCAAGGGCGTGATGGAGTGGCCGGAACCAAAAAGCGTCAAACAAGTCCAAGCGTTTCTAGGGTTCACAAACTTCTATCGACGCTTCGTCCGGGGATACGCAGAGGTTGCCAAGCCGTTGACACGGCTGACAGGGAAGGCAGGATGGTCATGGGGTACGGATGAGCGCGCAGCATTTGATGGGTTGAAGAAGAGAATCGTGGAGGATGCGGTCCTAGCACTGCCAAATGACACCGGCCAATATCGTCTGGAAGCCGATGCTTCGGAAGGGGCAACAGGATCCGTTTTGAGCCAAAACCAAGACGGAATTTGGCGCCCAATCGCATTTATTTCGCACGCACTGACCGAAACCGAGCGAAATTACGAGATCTACGACAAAGAAATGCTTGCAATCATGTTATCGCTCAACAAATGGAGGCAGCTGCTCCTGGGAGCCACGGAAACGTTCGAGATCTTTACCGATCATCAGAATCTCGAGTACTTTCGGAAGCCGCAGAAGCTCAATCAACGACAAGCACGATGGATCACGGAGTTGGTGGAGTTGGATTTCACCTTACGACACCGACCCGGCGCACTCAACCGCAAGGCGGATCTCCTGTCTCGACGAGCCGATCACGATCAGGGCAAGAACGACAACAAGGACGTCACGCTACTGAAGCCCGAGTTCTTCCGATCACAAGAAGTCACATTCGAGGGACAGGATCAGCAGCTAGTTGATGAGATCAAGACCACTCAATTGATTGATGGAAGCGTCAAGGTGGCGTTGGTGTCATAGTTTGGCCACTTTTTCATCTTATCTTCGACGATCTTATCTTATCTCGGCACGGGTTATCTTATCACGGATCACGGCATCAGACGGCCCGGGTTAGGGGTTCCAGGGATTCTCCTTATCGATCCAAGGCTGCGTGACATATGCTCCAGAAGGTTCTACTGCAACCCATGACCAGTGCTCCATGCGGTACATAGCCTTATGACTCATTAGTTGTAGATATGACTCAGACTGGACTGGGGTATAAATACTGTAGCTACTTTGGTTGTATTCTCCAGTCTTCGAATTGACTTCTCTTTTCGACATTATTTCTTGTTGATTGTCACATAATTCGAAGACTCCCCTCATACCCTCCTACCTCATACCTCTTACCCCTGCATCCCTCACCGCTACGCCCGCTATATCCTCTACACCCTTGATAAATCCACTCACCTTTCTACCGAATCATCTAGTCGTCCTCCACCTTCGCAGTGAAGGGTTCGTATCGAGCAAACAGCACCAGGCCACGGGTAACGTTGAGCCCGACCCAAGCCTTACGGTAGCTACAAGGAGTGCTGCGGAGACCTTCGGGAAAACGCACCTCGGGATCATCGGGCACGTGAAGAGCTAGGCCCGGGATCTTTTTGCTAGCAAAAGAACCCATCCTCGAGTGCTTGTACAGCACACGAATTCACCATTTCGTACCGATTCCCATCGTCATCTGGGAGTCCGTCTCCTCCTCCCATCATACCTTCGTCGCCCGATCTGGCGCATCAAAACCAACCCGAGGCCTTTGATCCCTACCTTGCCCTCCCGCCGCCTGAAGACGAGATTCCTGACCTCGACGAATTGCCCTCCGAACAACCACCCTCACCTCCACCTACCACACCTGCTCCTACCATGTCAGGTCACCACCGCATCACCCTCGCCGCCAACCCCCCCTATTTCAATGGGGACAAAACCAAGTACATGGGCTTCGTGGACTCATGCACCACCTACATTGGTGCCTACCGGTCGGAATTCTCGCAGGATGAGACAAAAATCCTGTTCATCCTCTCCTACCTCCGCAATGAGGCTGGCACAAGCTGCGCTGCCTCGAGATGGGCAATGAACTGGAAACAGCGCAACTTCGAGAGCCTTAGTGGGATAAAGGCTGGGGTCACCTCAGCAACCTTCTTGGAGGAGCTTCAGAGGGCCTTCGGGGATTCTAACGCGGAGCAAGTTGCCGCCGCTCGACTTATGGCCCTGCGCCAGAACAAACGATCCTTTGCGGATTACATCTCTGACTTCGAGATGCTGGCCTCGGACGCGGGGTACAATGTGGTCACCACCACCGACGACAAGGGCGAGTACAAGAAGGGTGATCAAGACAACATCCTCATCGAGTTCCTCGAGCGGGGACTCAGTAGCGAGATTGCCAGTCGCCTCTACAACACCGGTGTCCCTCTCCCCAAAGTGTATGGAGCCTTCAAGGACTGGTGTGTCAACATCGAGGCAAACGCTCTGCGCGATCAGCTGCGCAAAGCATTGTATGGGCACCCCACGCAACGACCACCTCCCCAGTTCCGCCCTCAGGCTGCCCCAACAACGCCTGCACCCGCTCCGGCCCGACCCGCTGCCAACGAACCGGTTCCGATGGAAATCGATCGCACCCACACCCGCGGCCGCAATATCATCTGCTACAACTGTCAGCAGCCCGGGCACATTGCGCGAAACTGCCCGGAACCAAGGAAGAAGCGCACGTTCTTCAACCGGGCCACGATGCTGGAAGAGATCGAGAATGGGGACAAGGACAACGAGTTCCTCAAGGAGGTCGCCGAGAAGCTGCGCGAGAAGGGTTTTTGAAGCGCTCCACTCCTCTAGCCAAGGAGGTGGAGCGCCCGGACTATGGACGTTTTTCTGTACTTGTTTCGATTAAAGATACGAACGATATGCCTCATCATACATACACGCTTCCAGACTCGTTACGCACTAATATTCACGATTTTCTCGTTGCCGAGATGGAAAAAGAACGTAAAGAAAAAATAGCTTTAAATAGAAAATATTTACAAGATAAAAAGGATCAGAAGATAGCGGCTGCGGATAAATTATTTTTGGACTCCTACGTATTTATGGCTCGTGGAGAAGAAACCACGTCAACAAAGACCGAAAAGGGGAGCATTGCTCCGGAGGCTCGATCCTTGAAAAAGGAGGAAGCGCCTAAGGAATCTGCCGAAATCAAGGTTCCAGAAGCACCCAAACGCACCAGGGTGCCGGATACCGTCCAGAGAAAATTGGCGGCCGAGAAACAGAAGGGCCCCCAGCCCAGCAGATTGGCGCAGGAATTGCGCAGTTACCAGGCCGAAAGAAAGAGGCATTCGATGGACGTATATGTCCAGATCACGGGCCTGGATTCGGGAAAGACACGCGGAGTAAAGGCGCTGCTCGATAGCGGCTGCAGTACCTGCTGCATTGATACCGACTACGCGCGAGCGGAAAGGTTGAATATCCAAGAGCTCCCACAACCCATTGTGGCTCGCAATGCCGACAACACCGAGAACATCAGCGGTCGGATCACGCACTACGTCGACCTAAGGATGAAAATCGGTCCTCATGTGGAGACACGCACGTTCCTTCTAACGTGCCTAGGAACAGCTCGGATCTTCATTGGTCTGGATTGGCTAACGGAACACAACCCCGAGGTGGATTGGCAGGAGCAGACCATGAGATTCAGTCGATGCCCAGAGCGGTGTCACATGAGGGGTCACGAGGAACATCAAGCGATGATTGACATGGATGCAATCGACCTGGACATGGGCACACCGGATCTGGAAGAGGGGGAATCGATCCTGTTGGTTGACTTTGGGAAGGAAGTGGACCTGCGGCTGAAGGAAACGCCGGCACAGAGATTCGCCGAAGAAGCGGAAAAGGAGAAGGAGAGAATGACCGAGGGAAAGATTCCGGATCAATATCGGGAATACATCAAGGTATTCGCCAAGGAATCGTTCGACTCGCTACCAGACCGACGAGCATGGGATCATGCAATCGAGCTCAAACCTGGCTCCAAAGCAGTGGACTGCAAGGTGTACCCCTTATCGCAAAACGAGCAGGTCAAACTCGATGAGTTCTTGCAAGAGAACCTGGCAAGCGGACGGATCAGACCATCAAAATCACCCATGGCATCAGCGTTCTTCTTTGTCAAAAAGAAGGATGGCTCGCTACGGCCCGTCCAAGACTATCGGAGGTTGAACGAGATGACGATCCGAAATCGATACTCGCTGCCGCTGATCTCTGAACTGGTCCATAATCTATGCGGCGCCAAGTTCTTCACAAAGCTTGACATCCGGTGGGGATACAACAATGTACGGATCAAAGAGGGTGACGAGTGGAAGGCTGCATTCCGTACAAACCGCGGACTATACGAGCCCTTGGTCATGTTCTTCGGCCTCACAAATTCCCCAGCAACGTTCCAAAACATGATGAACGACATCTTACGAGAACTGATCAACGAGGGACACGTGGTAGTCTATCTGGACGATATACTGATCTTCACAGAGAACTTGGACGAACATCGGCGGATCACGAAACGAGTG